CAGATTATTAGAAGCCCTATGAAATGCGTGTGCTCAAAACCACATCTTCAGACATCATTTGGATAATGAAGCTCAGCTTTCACTTAAACAAAAGCCTTAGCATCTTTGTCCTAGGTGGTGCAGAAACCTGAAGGTGTATCCAAGGTACGTTCTTGTTTTAACCCACAAGATTCATTTGTAAAGCCAGTGTCATGGCTGGGAGAAGCCTGAATTGCAGCCACTTTCAGACTGGAACCAGTTCCTATGTCTCAGGTAGGACATTTTGAAGCCTCTTGCATAATACTTGTACTTCAATTTGATATGAGTCAGCGTTGTACTGATATAAGAAAGGCAAACATTATACTAGGAATGTGGTCTACAAGAAAAGATCCAGCTAGGCATACCTAAGGACACTGAAAGAAGAGAAAGCTGAGGGAAGGGCACATCTCTAGGGCACAACAGGCCATCTGAGGGAGTGACATGTTTCTGCTGTCATACTAAGACACTTCCATCCCACCTCTGTGGGATCAAGTACAGGACATCCCTGACTGAAAAGGGACAGCAAAGCAGCCATGGAGCATTAGCCCCTGCTCTGACAGACTTTAGTGGGGAAATGTTTTACTACTTTCGTATCTCTGCTCCTCTTTTCAGGAATGGGAGCATCACCATCGTTCTGCCTTGTGCATGTTAGCAGACCAAGTAATCAGATGTTATAACTTCAGAGCCATGTCAGTCCTGATACGCAAGTTGATAGCTCCAAGTGGATGCAGAGTCAGGAGTCAGCAGTGGCTTTAGGAAAATCTGAGCCTGTGTCTGGGTGAAGGACACCATCCTGATCAGCATCTTCTGCAGGCAATAACGCATGCTCCCCCTGGACCTCTGAAGCTGTTAACAGGGGGCAGGGGAGGAAAACAGCTCTGATGAGCTCTGATCCCAGCTCTAATGAGCTGAGCCCTAATGGGCCCTCTTGGCAGGGGCTGTGTGCAGGGTAGTACGTCTGGAATCAGCTTGACAAAGGGGTTTTGTCTCCCTCTTCCCTCTGTATCCAGCTGGGCCGTGCTCAGCTGCTGGGACAAGAAAGAGCTGGGAACAACTGCAGGGGCAGCTGTGCCGATGAGGAGCATACTCCTTTTGCTTGGCTTTGGCTGGGGCTGCCCTGCTCCCAGTCCCATGGCTGTGCTGCCATCCCTGAGGCTCTCAGCTTCGCTGCTTGCTCTTTAGGACTGGATGCAAACATGGCCCTAAGTGCCTACACTGCTGCTAGAGACTTTCATAGAATCCCAGACTGGTTTGGGTTGGAAGGGACCTTAAAGCTCATCCAATTCCAACCCTCTGCCACAGGCAGGGACACCTTCCACTAGAGCAGGTTGCTCCAAGCCCCATCCAACCTGGCTTTGAACACTGCCAGGGATGGGGCAGCCACAGCTTCTCAACATAGCCATGGGTGTTGTGCTCCCTTTGTCCAACAGCAATTGCTTCCCAGGCTTTACCACACATCCATGTGTCCTTTTGCAACAGCAAACCAGGGCTCAGGGGGTCATGCATGTCTCCCAGGTCATGTAGTAAACTCATGGGTGTCTCTGTCCACATAGTCTGCATTGGGCCCCTCTCTCTTCCTATGGCTGTGGTGCAAACTAGAGCTGAGATTGCGTGACACTTGCTAAGTAACGCAGAGATACCTCTGTTTTGGGAGGCTGCTTAGGAAATTCTTCCCCTTCAAACCAACCCACAGCTGGCTGCTTTTCTCCTGTGCTGGCTTGTGCCGAGCAATCACTTCCCACTCTTCTTGATTCCAGCTTTGCAGATGTGCGCAGACACTTCACACCAGCCTGAGATCAAGCTGATGCAATGAGACCATCGGGCTGGTGAAAGTCTACACACAAGGCGTCTTACTTAAACCATAATTACCCTTGTGGTTACTTCCATTGCTGCCACAGCATTGTCCCTCTCGGATGTCAATCACCAGCTTCCCCCAGGGGACATTTATGTTTTCCAGGAGGTTGCAAAGCTTTGCTCACAGGCCATGGAAGTGTGACATAGCACATAAACATCCATAAACCCTTCTGATGCTGACACCAAGCAAGATCAAAGCTTGCTGGTGACAGTTCAGCGTGGCACAAGGCAGGGTACTCTGCACCGTGCCTCACATGCCCAAAGGGAGATACAAGGTGTTTTCCCTGTCCTTGGAGTAAGTGGCATTGGTAGCAACATCCTTCTTCTCAAGCCATGATAAGAGAAGGGGTTAATTCACCACTGACACCAAGTACTGAAGTGTTTTATCTGGAGTACCAGGCAGTAATACACTTTAGACAGAGAGATACTATATAAAATGGAGAGGTGACCCATGGAGGTCTGGATAGGTGTAATTAGCTCTGCTGTCACATAGGAATGAGCATGTTTGTACAGATTATGTCCAATTTCTAGCAACACCTGCTCATTTGCTTTAACCAGATTTCTCAAAGAGGGACTAATTAGCACTTCCTTGGAAGCCCAGCAATGGCTTTACCTCTCGATCGGTATTCCTTCTGCTGGAAGGCAAATTAGTTACTGTATCAGGGAAAGCTGATGGAAGCAGGAAACCATCTTCATGCCTAAAATTAAAGGAAAAGGCAGAGCTCACTAGACCTGGACTTCCTTTCTCATGCAAGGGGTGAGGGCTGTGTGGTGAGTTTCCTTTTCTGCATCCTTGAATGAAAATACTGTTTTGGATCTATATGATTTCTGAGGGTGAGGGCTATGTGGTGCTGCTTCCCCAGGGTTTGAGCCCAGCAGCTCAGGGCAGTGCTTGTGCCACCCCAACAGCGGCACACGGTGGCTTGGGAATGAAGGGACCCCCTTTAGCGTTGATGCTGGAGTCTTCTTCCGGGTGACCCTGTGCCAATGGGGTGGACAAGGCTCCCTCTTTTCTTCAGCAGCTATAACCATGAGCAAGGCTTTATCTGACCATATTAGCACTTACTACAGTTGGGGAGCTAATGGTGTTCATCGATGCTACTGTTTGTAGAGCACCAGACTAGCCAACCCCTTCCTAAAGAGGTGGATTATGATGAAGTTCATGAAGGCTCCCAGTATCCTGGGGTGAGCGTGCCAAGGCACAGGGCACATGTAACTGACTAGGACAGTTCTCCCAGCCCTTCATCCTGCTACTAACCACCAGCACTGCTGAAGCTTTATAGCTAAAGCAACCCTTTAGAAAACCTGCTTTCCTCTCCTGCATGAAGGGATGAGGCGTAGCCATCTAACCTGGCCGTCCCACACCCTCGCCTCAATGTGGGAGGTGCGGATGACCCTTCTTGTTCCATGACGCATTCTTGGGGGTGTTTCTGTTTTCTTTCAACACCCTTATCCATTAAATCAGTCTTCTCTTGACAGCTGCTGTAGGTGGCTTCTACAGCACTGCAGGCTTTATGAACAGATAGACGCATTTTGGGGCAGTGATTTGTGCTAAATCAACTCCCTTGAGTCTTCTTTGCCACACACAGAGCACAAGGTGAGGAGACATGGCCAGTCCTACCTTCCCCTTGTTTGTGACCCTGCAACCACACACTGAGTCTGTTAGCTTGGTTTTTTGGCTGTAAACCTATCATCCAGGCCTCTATCCAAACTGGCTTTGACCATCTCAAAAGATGGAGACTGCTGTATCCTTTGGTGTTTGACTCTCAAGTTTGCACTGCTCATGTCTTTCTTTCTTAGTTTGTCCAGCTTCAGCCTACTCATTTTACTTTTTGTTCTCCCTTTTTCTGATGATGGAGCCTTTCAGTGCCTGGATTTATGTGCTCATGCACTGTAACTGAATCCACTGTCTCAACAAGATAGATGGCTCTTCAGGTGCCTCCCTGTCAGTGTCTTCTCCAGCTCTCAAGCTGCTTTTGTGGCCTGGTTCTGTCCTCTTCTCACTTTTACTGTGCCTTTTGGCAACCATATGCACCAGGACACGGATGATATGTTCTAGTTCCAGGGTAAAAACTCTTCTGAACGCATACATAAGGATCTTCCCTATATCTTCTTCCCTGACTTCCTCTCCTACTTGTATCACACTGAACTCTAAAACAGTAAAAGGGGCAGAAAAGTGCATAATGCCAAAACTTGTGTAAAGAAACTATTTGGGTGGAGGGGCTGTGCAGTGAAACATCTGGCAGTGCTGACTGCAGGCCAAGGTAGAGAAGGAACAGGACCAACAGCCTGGCAGCTCCTACATATCTGTGTTTGTTGTCACGTCTCTTGAGGGGAGAGGTGTGTGACCTTCCAGAGAACAGAAATCCCAATTCCCCAACTGACCTAGTTTAGTTTCGAGCATCGCTTAACACGCCTTATAATATTTTATAGACTCACTTCTGTAACTCAACATCGAGCTAGTATTTAATGCAATGATCCCCAGTAGGGACCTTAGGAGAGCTAATTGTACATGCTCTGGGGGTGGGGTGGGGGAAAGCATCCACAAATGCTTTCAATAATGAATTTTGCTTCTCTTTTTAGCTTTGGTTGTGGTTGCAATTCTGCAGGTGCTCATCAGTAGTGACACTGATGAAATGTCTGGGGCTGATGCGAGCCGCTATCAGAATCAGGCCCATAGAAGTAATATTTTAGTTTTCCTATGATCATTTTGCCAGCTGGGACCTTATTTTAATGGCATCTATGCAAAACAGTTCATGAAGGAGACGTCTAAGGGAGGGGTTGGGGGAATTCGAGGGTGTCCATTCATCAGTGGGTCTGGGAGTTTGGGTATATTTCCAGGCTTGAGGTCTCCCTATGGAGCTCTGTCCACATCACCAGCAGCAGGAGGCTGAGCCCATGGGTCAGGCAGCACTGGAAGGCCCCCCTTGAGAGGGTTTCCTTATTTATTATGTTTTCCTGCTTTGCTTCTCAGCACAAAACTTGCAAAGTAAATATGACCCGTTGAGTTTTGCTGACCACCTGAATGCTTTGTAAAAATGTGATGAAGCATCAATGTATTATTATATTGTTATATTATTATATAATTATTATATTCTTTATTATATGTCTGCTATCTGAGCAGACCTGTGTTACAGCAGACCCCAGGAAGACTCACAAAAAATCACATGAAGTTGCCCATCATGACTTTGTACTGGGGAACTGAGAATAAAAGGGAGCGAATTTCACCCTCCAGGACCCAGAGGACAAAGAAACTTAAGGAACCCCTGAGTACTGTTGATGGTATGAAGTGCAGGAGGACCTGGGAGCTCTGCTTGTCGTCCCACGGAGGCTTTTTAGCGTGCCAATCACCACGGAATGAGGACAAATTCCAGTACAGGCTGATGAGTAGTCACTTTTCCTGCTGCTGCTGAAGCCACTGGAAAAATCTGATTGATCCAGGATGTCACGTCAGAGCCTAATTCCCCTTTCTGCAAACACCCATATGCTCGTGTTCAGTGCTTAATAAAAGGTAAGCTCCAGTCAATGGGAAAATGTGCTTAAGAGCTTTATTCGCTTTCTTAAGTGCTTTGCTGGGTCTGGCCCCATGCAATGTGTCAAGCACCTATTAGTCTCATCTTTTATTGCTGTAATGTAGATAGCTCCTTGGAAATAACCCTTTCAACACAAAGGTGGGGTGTTTTTCTTTGAGGGGAAGCCTCCCTGTGCATATGCACTTACTAATAATGACAAGTGTTTGGGTATGTTTTGGCTTTCTGCTCTGAGGAAATAAAGGGAGGGAAACATGATGGTTTTGGAGCAGGTACAAAGCTTTCAGTCGCCTGGCTCGGGTGAAGTTGCAGAAAGCATTTCTCTTTGTGTTGCAGGGCCTGGCAGCCCAGCAAGATAATAAAAGATAAAGCAAACTGTACGACAATGGAAAATGCTGAGCTCCCTGAGTAATTACAGTTGTGTAAGACGGTCGCATGTCTTGCAAGGCTTATTAATACAGTCACGTTTGCGTTATATAAGGGGTAATTACAGTGCAGCCTGCTCACCATTGATTACACCCTTTGCCTGGCGTTCACAGCAGCGGGTCCACAGCCAGGCTGCAAAGGTGGCTCAAGGGGCAGTGAATGCCAGGGAAAGGAGAGGCAGGATGGCCAAGGCTGTGGGGCCACCACCATGCTGTGGCTTTGGACAAACCCCAGACAAATCACCCTGGAGACCATGTTGGCACGGGCAGGGGGGTGCCTTATCCTCCTGCTGTGCCACAGCCACCAAACTTTGCCTTTTGGGATCTGACGAATGCGGAGTTAGCAGCAGCTCTCAGTAGAGAGTTAAATGGCCATAGGTTACAGATTGGTGCTCCTGAAGAAGCTTTGCCAGGGTATCCTAAGGAAGCTGGGAGTCGAGGGATGTCTAACGTAGAGGGAGGCCACTGCCTAAAGCCACTGGGAGCCACCCTTAGCCATAAGCAGACTGCACTGGTTTTGCCAGCCCTGCTCCATGTGGAAAAGCGCCTGAGCCTCGTGGGTACCACACGATGCTCTCAGGAGCATGGGGTCAGTGAAGAGCAGCTTCCTGAGGTGCAGAGCAGGCCCATTGCAATTCCTAAAGCCTGGTTATGTTAACAATGAGGCACAAAAGATGGGAGTGGGCCTGGCTGTGGGTTTCTGGAAGCCCCACCTTGAAGATGAAGGGCAGCTTCACTCATTTGGTGCTGCACATGAAAGTACACACAGAGGGGGGCTGAAGTGATGCCTTACTTGTGTGGAGGTTGCAGCGGGCATTATCCACTAGCTCCAACAGCAGGGAGAGTCAAAGTGCCTGGACCAAGGAGAAAGGAGTGTAAGCTCCCTGATGTCAGCTCCCATGAGTCCTTGAACCCCTGCTTTGCATTTTCTATTGCGTAAGGTACTTTTGATGCTGAAGAGGGGCTCAAGTGGAACCACGGAAGCTTGGTCTCCACAGGATGCTCCACTTTTTGGAGCACTGCATTGTCTGCTTCTGGCAGGGCTTGCGAAGGAAACGCCACAAACCCATGTACAAGGCTGTGATGGATGCAGTGAGCACACCGTGTCCCTGTGTTCCTGATTATTTCTCTGTATTCCTGATTATTTCTCTGTATTCCTGACTATTTCCCTGGACTCCTGTCCTTTTTGAGAGGATGCTTCTCAGGCAGCGGCAAAGGCAGCGCCTCTGAGGAGCTGGAGATAAGAGCACACATGAGAATGAGCTGGACCTACTGTTTTCTCCATGGAAACACAATTGGCACTCGGCTGTTAGGCCCAGCAAATCCAATTACAGCTGTAGACAGAAATGTGTTTAAAAAAACCCCAAACAAGCCAAGCTGGTGTAAATGAAACATTATGGTGTGCTTTAGAATTGTTGGGTTATTTCTTTGTTTTTTTTACACTCCCAGCTATGTACTGTACCCCTTGAGGGGTGTGCGTGTTGAGTGATGCTTCCCTGTGGTGCTGCTGCCCTCTGAAGCCGTGGTACACTGCCCCTGCGGTGGCAAATGCTGGCTGGTCCCAGCATTGATCTTTCCTAGGGCAGACAAATGACAGGGCTGGACAGGCAGCCAATGCTGAGCATCCAAAGAGTGAAGTGTTTCTAGAAGAACCAAAACCTGAGCTCCTGGAGGCTTGTAGCCTTCCTCCCAGCTACTCCTGCCCCAACAGCCCTCCAGTGGCTGCAGAAATCCCTTCCAAATACACATTAGTGTTTCTTGCAATGCAGGGGACCCCTTTTAAGGATGCTTTAAAGCATCCTTAAAGCATCCTTAAAGCATCCTTAGTCTAGACTTGGCTTAGAAATGTGGGGCCAGATGATTCTTGAGGTCCCTTCCAACCTGGGATTCTATGAGTCTATATGTGGAGAAATGGTGTGAGGTGGGGAAGCCATAACCTGAGTTACACATGTATGTCTGTCTCTAATAGCCACCATGAGTTTTCTACCTGTGTTTGCATAATTCCCCATCGCCACAGGTGATGCGTTTGTTCTCCATTGGGCTGGGAGTGAAAATCATTTCCTGCAGCTGAAGAGCTGCAACTGGGTTCTGAACACAGCACTTTAACAAAGAACAAAACAGGCAAATTAAGATCCCTCTATCTCAGCCCTGCCCTTGACACAGCGTTTTAGCCCACCCAGCCTCCTCCACGCAGGCCTGGGTAACACTGACGGCACCTTCCGCTCCCCAGGTAGGGGAACCCTTCATGCTGCCTTTTATCATGTGCAGGTCATGGGAAGGAATCTGCCAGCAAAGCCACAGACTTCAAAACTATTCATTTCTGCCATTTAATTGCTTTAACTGCATGTTCTGGTGGGTACAATTCAGCATCTTTTTAATTGGCATCTCATCTGCACTTTCTGCATTCCCTCATGACTGGTTTGAGGTCTATTTTCCTTGTTTAATCCCAGGGTGACAAACCTGTGGAAGTCAGGAGATGCAAATGGCTTTTCCAGTGCTGCTACTGACTTTGCCTGAGTGGCTTTCAGATGTTTATCCAAAATACGACTTGGTTCCCCTATCTGTAAAATGGAGGTTGTTGCTTAATCCCCTTTAAATCTGCTCTGAGAGCCTGGGGTAGAAGCCAGTGGGCTCCAAGATGAGTGAGTTTCTATTTTTCAACGTTATGACAGTTTTCTCTTAATTCTGTGCTTTGAAATACAGAGATGTATGGAAATGTTCAGGGGATTTTTTTGGGAAGGTGGTTTTTAAAAGCTCTGTAATTGCGGTGTGGTGGAGAACATAAAAATAAATCCTTCCCACAACATTTTAGCCTTGGACTGGGCTAAATCTTGGAGGAAGCGGTATTGCTGTTGGTTCTAATTGTCAGGCTTCAGCATTTCTCTGTTGTGGAAACCGTGTATCAGGGTTAGATGTTGGGTCTCATCCCAGCTGTACTGTGTCCATCTTCCAGCAGCGAGCAAGTCTGGGTATCATTCCATGGATACAGGGAGAGGTGCATCACCCCCTGCATCACCAATGCTCTCTACAGACCCCGGCCAGATGGGCTCCATTTGGCTTCACCAGCACCTGGAGCAACTCCCATTCTGGAGCAGGTGGATGCTCATTCCCATCCTGCCCGGTGGTGGATCCAGGCTGGAAGCAGACACCCTGGTGTGTGGCCTCCGGAAGTTCTCCCCTTACACAGATGGCTCCATGCAGGTAGCTCTGCTTAATGGTATTAAACAGAGGGTGATAATGTTACCTTGGGGATCAGGTGGTGAGCTTTGTATGGCATGACCTGCAGCAGCAGCCTCTCACGCCACAGGGTGTCATGGGGACCAAACAGGTAGGGGATGGATTTACTGGGGAAGGTGGCTAATGCCGTGGAATGGGTGGGCTGCTTGCATTAAACCCCACCTATTCCCAGCTGCAGCTCCTCAGCTTTGAGCCAAGGGCTCAGTTTCATTTTGTGGCATTTTAACTATGATTTTGTGTCCAGGTCTGAACATGTCAGAGCCTTTCATACCCCAGACCCCTCCATATCCTCTTGCCCAGACCCATCATCGGCCCAACCTCCAAACTTGCCAATGCTATTCACCCCCCTCCATTCAGCTAGAGAAAGAAGATGCTATAAGGGGGAAGTTATATGTAAAAGCACATATGTGAAGTGCTGCTGATCTCCACTGTCAGTGCAGCAAGTGTCTCAGCTGCATTAAAACAAGCTGCTCCCTTAACTTCTGTGAAGGCAGCATGGATTTCGGGCGGGTTTCTGTCAGAAGGGAGGGCTGATGAACTCTTGATGAACTGGGGCTGGAAGCAGACAGTCGCTCCTATTGAATCAGCATCGTGTAAGGATGGGCTGATTAATGAATGTCAGAGAGCCCGCCTGAATCGGAGGTTTCAGGCCTCTGCTTTTTCTCTTTTAATTGCATTTTCCAGAGTTCACAGGCCAGAGTGAGCGGGGAAATCTGTGATGGGTCAGAAACGGCTGTGGTTTGGAAAGAATTTCAGGCATCCTTCATGTGACCTCCTCCTCCTCCTTGCGCACAATTGTTGCTTTTAAAAGGAGCAGCGATAATGGGAGACCGGGGGATCTGCCTTGCAGAACTCTTGTCCTCAGCCCTGCCATTTTCAGGTCCCTCCTTTGACGTGTGGTCAGCGCTGTGGGGAGATGTCCAAGGCAGTCAGGAACCCCTCGCCCCCCCCTTCCTTGCTAGAGCCAGAGCCTACAGCAGCATTTTACAGTAGCAGCTTCAGACTAGTCAGCCACAGCTCCTGTGCCATCGGCTGGGTTTAGAGTTAGTCTGGAGCCAAGTCAAAGCTTGCAAGGCCCTGGGAATGGATACAGCTTGTTTGAAGAGGATGGGGGAAAGCCCCCTGTGTTCCCTTGCTGACTCAGCTGGTCTTGTTAATCTTAAATAAGCCAATTAAGGCTGCAGGATAGGAATGCTTCTCAGCTGAGGGCTTGCTTGAGTAAAGGTTGCAAGATTTAGCTAAAGTGCCCCAAATCCCAGCAGGCTGTTCCTTACCTAAAGGGGCAGTCGTGCCCTCTCAGCTCTTCCTGTAGGCAGGATGTGATTAAATTGAATCAAACCCAGCAGGCAACAAGCAGCAGCCTCAACTTGCCCAAAAGCCAGAGGATGGGGAGCAGCTCAGCTCTGCTTGTCACTAGGTAAGTTGTGACACAGCTCCTGTGTCTTAGTTTTTTCCAGCTTCCAAACCAGCGGTTGTCCTGAAAGGTGTGGGACAATGATTGTGTGGTAGTTGTAGCACCGGGTTAAATCAAGTGTGTGTATTGGGAGTTACCACCATGCATGGAGGGGCAAAGAGTTTGGCTTTTGAGCATCCCCCATAAGCCTGGTGGTGGTCTCTCCATGTAGTGTTTTTAGGCTTCCTGATAAAAAGGTGAAGCAAGGCATCCTCAGCTCCAGCTGACTGCCCTGTGCTTCCTGACGCGAGCGCCATAGGAAGCTTGACCCAGCATGAACAGGCAGTTGTTATCCCTGCAAAACTCCAAACCAAATT